AGTGATTGATTTGTTACATTTGAGAATAATTTCCAGAGCCTAGTAAAGTGCCTTATGTGCTTAACATATAACATTTACTTAATAGCACTGGAGTAATACCTTAAATGTAAAGAAGTTCCATTCAGAAAGACCTAGAATATATTCTTCCTGTCTTCTTTACCTTGGAAAGGAAAACAACAAAACCCAAAATATCTGTTGACTCTAAGTATAAAAATTCATTGAGTCCATCAGACCAGATATCACCATGAGTAACAAGAACTGGCAGGGCTTTGAAAGTCAGACTTTTAAATTCTGGCTAATAAATGTGTATGTAATCTGAGGCAATTTACTCAACATTTCTGAGCCTTAATTTAACCTCATCTGTAAAATGAGGTTGATGACACTTACCTTGCAAGACAGTAAAGACTAAACAAAATTACATCTCTATAGTGTGCAGCATTCAGAAAATGATCAGTAATCAGTAGCTACTTTTATTGTTTGGGGCACTAAACTCAGTTCTACAATAATGATAGTAATTTGTAAAAAAAGAATCCTAGAACAGAGGAGTTTTGAAGGTGGTCTAATTTGAACTCTCTACTTGATGCAAAAGTTCCCTCAATAAATTTAGTTCCTTCTTTACCTGAATAGGTGAATCAATGACAATACCTACTTAGCTTTCTAACACACTTGGCTCAATAATCCGACTGTATAAAATTTTGTTACTTATGGCTTTGTAAAAAGGCTGAAATTCATTAAATCTTTAAGTTTATGCATTTTAAATTACGATTTTAACTTCATAAGCCCGAACTTTTTAAAATTAAGATTGGTGACTTAATATTTCTACCTTAGAACACAAGCCATACTTCCTAAGTAATTCCCGTTGCTGAACCACATACATAGCCAATTTTTTAAATCCATCCAAAAATATCAGATTACACACAACTATTGGTAAATATTCTTCAAACTAATACCTAGTAGCCAGGAAATCTTAAATAAGAATATCCATCCTAAAACAAGGCAATTTCTACATGGATATTATTTAATAAGGGTTTTAATTTCTAAAGAAATTATGACTTACAATTTATGACACATGCTTAAGTAGCTGTAACATACAAAAACCTGAAGCCATTACCTACAGCCATGAATCCAGGTAAAGAACACACAGTTCTTGAAATACACCTGCCCCTGCATCTGCTTCAGCTTGAACATTCTCTTATTCTCTGATAAAAATCCTTCCTTGTTCTTGTTACTCTCAACTGCTTTGAAGAGAAAGCTACAACATCCCTACCCACCATAAGGCCCAAATGAAGAGGGAACTATAAATGAGGAGGGTGGTCTAATTTGAACAAACACAGGGTTTGTCCCAACGTGGAACTCATAAAAACTCTGGGAAAATGCTTTAGCTACAAGATAGACCTCAGATTATTCTGAGAAACATCCATGACTTCTATAATGGCAGGGATTTCAGAGTCCCAGCTAAGCGGTCTATCATAAGAATCAATTTCTGCCTTGGTTTTCTCATAGAAAATGGGATTTACCAAACATGCATGTGAGGAGAATTAAATAAGATAATGCATGTGAAAGCACTTGTGTAACTGTACATTTATGTAGTACTCATTCAGCAGAAAATTCATCTCTTTTGTCCCAAAGGGAAATTCAACTGTCAGTATATGATATAAAGAAAAAATATATTCTTTTGGCTTTAAAAATCCTTTTTTAAAGATAAAATTTATGAATACATCAAAAAATGTTAAAGTTGAGGATTAGATAATGAGAGCACATGCAAAGCAAATCAGTCAATGTGAAATTACTATAATTTTAAATTTCTAGAAACCTCTTTTTGTTTCTGTACTCTCAAACTCAAGGAAAATCAACATTATGAAAATATTCTCAGAACCGAAGGTCACGTCTCCCACATCTATAATCATTAATGTGGTTTACACTGGCACATATCCTGCCTCAAGGAAAGGCAACAAGCTTTATGAATAACAAGTCAAGCTTTTAGCAACAAAAGAAAATTTTACATCATATATTTACCCACATTTAGGTTGCTATGGACTCTGTTGGAGACATGAAAGAATGTGACATTTCATAAAATAATCAACATCACATCCTGTCATTAGATGGATATAGAACGAATATTGACCATTTCAAAAATCCTCTTCAACCATTTCACTAAAAGCTTTAATTTTCTGTAAGATAATGGTAACTCCTGAAAGAACTCAATTTCTTTGTTTGAACAGTTGGCTCTTCACTCTTCAACATTTTTGACTAAATGAAAGACCACAGAATATAATGTCCTAGGAAAACCTTAAGATCTATTCCTCATTAAAATGTAACACAGGTAACTTTGTAAGTTCTATATCAGAAGGAGAGGCGTTGTATCAGAAATGCAACCACAGTTTATAGTTGGAAAAAGAGACAACTTCATTACTACTGAAAGGTTTATGAATTAACACTCAATTATGTCAGAACCATAATATACAGGCAGAATTTGTAAACTTGGAACAAAGATTGTTTATGACACAAAACGGAACTCTTGCTTCCTGAGAGTTCCAAACAGTTCCTCTACCTTTTGCAATTAGATTTCATCACTTTTGCCATAGAGACAAGCATGAAGTTGTGCAGGTTTTCTTGTTGTGGCTTTCTGGTTACATTAAAAATAATGTACATTTATTGTTACACAATGAATTATATTTATTGAGTCCTCCTCCTAGGGCAGTCACAGACTTAGTGCTATAAACACGTGTTCTATTTAATTCTCCCCACAACTCTAAGTCAATAAATGGTTAGGTAACTCACTCAAGTGTACATAACTGGTAAGTAAAAAGCTAAGATTCAACCACAGACCATCAGACTCCAAAGCCCATGTTCTTCACCACTGCATTAAACTTCCCTGTGATCAAAAAAACAAAAACAAAAACAAAAAACAAAAAAGGAGGAGGAGGAGGAACCAAAAAGAAACAAATAATTTTGTTTTGCAACTTTAGATTTTTTTTTTATATCAAGTATCTAACTGCATTGTTCTGCTGCTTCAGGAATTATTACTTGCGTAAAGAAATTTACATAAGCAAATATGTATAGAAGATAAACACCCATAGGCAAGTGAATTGCATAATGCAGATAAAAACAAGAGTTGAAAGGAACATTCCTAGAGGAATCAGTAGCAACACCTGGTAGGGCACAAATCAATTTTTTCAGATTAAATCATTCATTTTAAACTCTACAAGACAGTGCTTGCCACCTGAAGATCTTTCAGTTTTGTAATACCAGTTTTCCTTTTGTGGAATGAAGCCAGACAAGCAAATAATAATGGGAAGTCTTAGTTTTCTTTCTTCAAGAGATCAGGGCTACTTCAGAATGTCTGGAATTCTGATGAATTAGAATACCTAGCTGAGTAGGTCCCTAGGTCTTCCCTGTCATATTTAAAGTGTGCACAGATCCAGTTCATCAGTGCCTGCCACAGTCAAGCATTACCTCTTATTCTGACGGATGTTTTTCCTTTTGTTAACATTTGGAATAAGTATGACATTTTAAAATGGTAGGATCCCCTCCAAAAACAAACAAAAAACCCAAAAACAAAACCCAACCAACCAAACAACAACAAAAAAGCTACTTAAAAAAAATTTTTTTTAATGTTTATTTATTTATTTTGAGAGACAGAACATGAACAGGGAATGAGCAGATAGAGACACAGAATCCGAAGCAGGCTCCAGGCCCCGAGCTGTCAGCACAGAGCCCGACGCAGGGCTCGAACGCACGGATCGTGAGATCATGACCTGAGCCAATGCCGGACGCTCAACCGACTGAGCCACATAGGCGCCCCACAAAAAAGCTACTTCTAAACGCTACCTTAACATCTGTAAGGTAGCATATTTTCGATACTGTTTGTAACCAATGTTACAAGACTCTCCTTTTCCAAGACTCCAGAGGAAGGCCGTCACAATTGTCAGGCCCTTTCCCCATCGCAACATGGTGTTATTTTGCAACAACAACCACCATTTCTTGAAGGCTATGTGCCAGGACCTGCAGCACGTGCTTTACAGGCATCTGCACAACACCCCCCACGAGACAGGTACCGTCATTATAGGATTTTATGGGTGAAAAACAGGAGGCTGGGGAGTCTAAGTCACCCACTCAAAGGCACACATGACAAGCAGGCCGGGACTTAAGCTCAGGTCGGACTCCAAAGCCGACGCTCTCGACAACTTCTCCAAAGTGTTCGAAAGCAAAAAGGAAGTCAGTCCTCAGGCCCCTATCACTGGATCATCCCTCTTCACACAAAAAGTGAAGTATCCAAACAGGCTTCGCCGTTTACAATTTTAAAAAAAACCGAATCAAGAGCGGCGTGGGGAGGAGAAGGCTAGGGCCAGCTCCCAGCAGAGTAGAAAGAGCGAGGCAAGGACAGGCGCCTGTGAACTTAACAGCCACAAGGACCTGAATATTCTAGAAGTAAAACAGCACAAAGCCAAGGCACCGAAACTGAAGTCCGCCGAAGGCTGAGAGGTTCACACAGCACTGACTCAGAGGAAGCTGTCACGTCTGGAGCGATGCGTTCTTACAGCCACACAAGGAGACGGAGAACACGCACGAGTCGGAAGGCAAAGCCAAAGCCGCCTGCACAGCTCCGGGTCTGCTTGAGCCTCGCTGGCTCCAGCAAAAGGCGGCGGCGCAGCTCACACGCTCCCCGCCCCCCCCCCCCCCCCCCCCCCTCCCCCCCCCCGAAAACACCTCAGATGCCGAGAGGGCTGGGAGCGGAGGCAGGGGGGGCCGTCTCGGCGGCCCGCCGTTGGAGACTTTCTCACACCCGCTACCAAGTGAAAGCCGCATGGTCGCGGGAGCGCCGCGCCGGCGTCGGGAACCAGCGGAGGGCTGGCTGGTGCCACTCGACCGCCCGATATCGCCGCCCGCACCCAAGTTTGTGCCATGTCACAGAGCACGCTATCGGCCCCGGCGCCGCCAAGCCACCGCGCCCGCCGGCCTCGGCACTTATCGGCCCGCCCGGCCCCCGCCCTCCTCACCTGCCCAGCTCTCGGCCCGGGCTGAGGCTGTAGCCGTCCTGGAAGGGCTCGGTGCGCACGGCGGTGCGGATCTCCGTCAGCAGCCCGCGGGCCTGGGGTGGGGGCGGCGGCCGGCGCGGCGCGCCCAGACTCCGGCCCGCCCCTGAGGCGGCTGCCGAGGGGGAGCCGCGGCTGCCCGGCTTCTCCAAGGGGATCATGGTGCGCAGGCACGCTTCCTTTCCGGCCGCCCCGCTCGCTCTCAGGTGCTGGGCGGGTAACGGTCCCACCTGCAGCTCCCTCGCGCCGTCCCGAAAGACCTCCCGGAACCCGCTCTCCTCCCCTGCGCGCTTAAACTACAGCCGGCAGACTCCCGGGTGCCCCGCCCCATGCCCCGCCCCGCCCCGCCCCGCCAGACTCCCGGGTGCCCCGCCCCATGTCCCGCCCCGCCCCCTGGCCCTACCCCTCCCCGTCCCCTCGTGGAGCTCGCCTGCCTTCTAGAGCGCCGGATACCTCACGCGCGCCCTCTGCAGCCGAGAAGGAGAAGGTGCAGCCTGGGGGCAGCCCTGGCCTCGGGGAGAAGAGAAACAGCACCACCCTTCTGTCCTGGCGGGAGAGTTGGGGGGGGGGGGTACCCACTGCCTCAGCCAGTTAACACACCTGTTGAGAACCCGAGTGTTCCAAAACCCAATCCCTCCTCAGTGAAAGGCATATGAGTTGCCAGCTGGAGCTTTACTTTGGGCGGGTGAGGAATGGTGATGAGACTCTGATCTCAGCTGCTGTACAGCACGTGGGAGTTGGCCAGGGCACCTGGTTCCTTCATACCATTAGGAGGAAATCTGGAAGCAGGAGTTGGGATAAATATTATTAAGCCCTCACACTAGCCCTATGCAACAAATACTGAAACTGTCTGTAGTCTACTAGGTTTTTAACATGGTGTTCTCATCTGGTCTTTTAAAAAAATGTTAGGTCGGGTTTTTTAAAGGTGTTTATTTTTGAGAGAGAGAGACAAAGTGTGAGCAGGGGAGGGGCAGAGAAAGAGGGAGACACAGAATCTGAAGCAGGCTCCAGGCTCTGAGCTGTCAGTACAGAGCCCTACCTAGGGCTGGAACTCCGGAACCGTGAGATCATGACCTGAGCCTAAGTGAGATGTTTAACCCACTGAGCCACCCAGGTGCCCCTAAAAGGAATGCCTTAATAAGGTGTATCTCTCAAAAACGTACAGAAGCATTGTTATTGAAGTCAGGGGCGTAACAATGATACTTGCCACTCCTATTCACTCCTAGTCACTCCTACTCAGCGTTGCAGTAGAGAAGGGAAGCAGTGCCATAAGACTAAAATGGTGTTAATATTAGAAAAGAAGAGTTAAAAAGGTCAAGAAGGAAAAGACAAAGTCATTAAATATAGACAATTCAATTACACTTCTAAAATATCCAAAAGAATTGACTGGAAAATATTAAAATGAAAAAAATTAAAGAAGGGTGATTAGATATAATAAAATAAAAATAAATCAACAGCTCTTTTACCTCAAAACAATATGAGGCATGCAGGATAGTGAGGATACTATCCCATTTGCAATAGAATAAAAAAAAAAGCATGCAGAAACAACCCTAATAAAAATGCACAAAGCTTACATTTTATTTTATAATTATATAGAATATAATTATTCTAGAAGACATAAAAAAAGACAAATAGAGATACATAATCTGTTCTTAAAGAGATTGGATCCTGTAATTTTTTGTAAATCAATCAATACATTTAACAAAGTTTAATAACCCAACAAGATTTCTTTTGGAACTTGTTAAGGCTATCCAAAAGTTATTATAAAGAATGTTCAAATAAGAATAGCAAGGAAATTTTTAGAAAAGAAAGTTTGTAAGAAGAGAATTATCCTAACAGATACTAAAATGTAGTATGAGATAAGACAGCTCAACATAATAGAGCACAGTATGCAGTTTTGAGATACTTTTTAAAAAAAATTTTAACGTTTATTTATTATTGAGAGACTGAGAGACTCAAGGCGTGAGCGGGGGAGGGGCGGGGGGAGGGGTGGAGAGAGGGAGGGAGACACAGAATCTGAAGCAGGCTCCAGGCTCTGAGCTGTCAGCACAGAGCCCGACATGGGGCTTGAATCCATGAACTGTGAGATCATGACCTGAGCTGAAGTTGGTTGCCCAACCAACTGAGCCACCCAGGCACCTCAGAGATGGAGACTCTTAACAGAAAACAAATGATGGTTACCGGAGGGGAGAAGGGTAGGGGGATGGGTGAAATAGGTGATAGGGATTAAGGAGGGCATTTGTGATGAGCACCAGGTGATATATGGAAATGTTGACTCATATTGTAAACCTGAAACTAATATCATACTGTATGTTAACTAACTGGAATTTAAATAAAACTTAATAAAACTTAATAAAAACTTAAATTAAATAAAACTTAAATAAAAACTTAAAAAAAAAAGAAACTTAAATAGGCCCCAAATATTCTAGATTATTAAATGTAATAAAACAAGACTATAAAGTCTAGAAAGAGTATGTAACAACTAGCTGATTTCTAAAGGAGAAATAATTTATAAACAGTAAAGTAGTGGGGACAAAACTCACAGGAAAACATTTGGCTACCAAAAACTTAAAAATTCTTGCATATCAAAAAATGTTATATACAAAATTAAAGGCAGACCAACTATAGAAACATTTGTATCAAACATTATAGACAAAAATCATAGTAAATTTATAAAGAACATATAAATCACTAAGAGGTATGCTAAAACTATATTAGAAGGAGGTCCAAAAAAAGACATTAAAAAATTTTTTTAAATGTTTGTTTATTTTTGAGAAAGAGAGAGAAAGAGAGAGACAGAGCATGAGTGGGAGAAGGGCAGAAAGAGAGGGAGACAGAATCTAAAGCAGGATCCAAGCTCTGAGCTGTCAGCACGGAGCCAAATGTGGGGCTCAAACTCACAACCCGTGATATCATGACCTGAACTGAAGTCAGACACTGACTGAATGAGCCGCCCAGGCATCCATTAAAAAAAAAAAAAAAAAAAAAAAAAAAAGAAGAAGATATTTTAAAAGGACAGATATAATAAATCCATATCAATGGTCAAATTTACCAGGAATCGAAGAAATAAAAATTAGCCCCAGGTTCCACTTTTGCCAGTAAAATTAGCAAAGATTTTTAGTGCTATTCAATTCCCGTCATCAGTGGTAATGGAGGAAAAGACCAGAAGGATAAAAACACAGCTGCCTTTTATTTCCTTGTTTGAGTCTATGTGTGCTCCTTGAAGCAGTCCTATGACCTTACTCCAGACGTGCTCTGTTGCAGTCCAGAGACAGTCCTGCATATGCAGGGACCAGCCCAGGAATCCAAAATGAGAATGCTTTAGGGACCTGGCAGAAGTTACACTTGTTTCGTGCTCCTGGTAACATTCCTGCCAACCACAGACCTGACCGTGGACCCACACCTTTTGTAATTGTCCCACAATGCTTTCATAGTCTGCTCTACTGGTTTTTTTCCCCAGTCTTTGTTTTCTTTGCTTTTCAGTCTTGAGGTTACAATTGAGATATCCTCAATTCTAGAGGTTATTTCCCCATCTGTGTCCAGTCTACTAATAAGCCCATAAAAGGCATTCTTCATCTCTGTTGCACTGTGTTTGATCTCTAGCATTTCTTTTTGGCTCTGCCTTAGTATTTCCATCTCTCTGCTTACATTTCCCATCTGTTTTTGCATGTTGTCTACCCGTTAGACCCGTAGCATATTGGTCGTGGTTGCTTCCCAGTCTAGTAATTCCAGCATCCCTGGCATTTCTGGTTCTGATGTTTGCTTGCTCTTTCCCTTCAAAATGTGTCTTCCAATTTGGTCTTTTGATAGGCATAATTTTTCTTGATAGTCAAACATGAGGTACTGCATTAAAGGAATTGCTGTACATAGGCCTTTAGTAATGTGGTGGTGTGATGTTGGGGAGGGAAGTGTTCTATAATCCATGATTAGGGCTCAGTCTTTCAGTGAGCCTGTGCCTCTGGACTGTGAGTTTCACAAATGTTTCTAAGTCAGTTCGCTTCTCTTTCCTTAGCTGGGAGAGTATGGAGTTGGGTATTTTCTCTTCTCCCAAGTGGAATTCTAGACTGGCCTGGAGTCTGTGGTATTTCCTTTCCCTGAAGTCAATTACACTCTAATAACACCCCAGCAGGTTAAGATCTGATTAACTAGTTTCCTATGAGGACAGGCCTTGACAAGAACGAAGTGCTCTAGGGACACCTGGGTGGCTCAGTTAAGTGTCCAACTCTTGATCTTGGCTCAGGTCGATGAGCCCTGCATCAAGCCCTGCACTGGCAGTGTGGAGCCTGCTTGGGATTCTCTCCTTCTCTCTCACACGTGTGTGTGTGTGTGTGTGTGTGTGTGTGTGTGTGTGTGGGTGCGCTCGCGCGCATGCTCACGCATGCACACGTTCTTACTCTCTCTCAAAATAAATAAACTAGGGGCGCCTGGGTGGCGCAGTCGGTTAAGCGTCAGACTTCAGCCAGGTCACGATCTTGCGGTCCGTGAGTTCGAGCCCGGCGTCGGGCTCTGGGCTGATGGCTCAGAGCCTGGAGGCTGTTTCCGATTCTGTGTCTCCCTCTCTCTCTGCCCCTCCCCTGTTCATGCTCTGTCTCTCTCTGTCCCAAAAATAAATAAACGTTGAAAAAAAAAAAAAGAAAAATAAATAAATAAATAAATAAATAAATAAACTAAAAACAAACAAACCAAAGCACGCAAAGTGCTCTGGGATGTTTCAGAATGGTTCCATTTGCCCTCTCCCCGCCAGAAGCTTGATGAGATTATTCTCTGATATCTACTGTGGGGACCTGTTAAATATCTGAAAGTAGCTCTCATAATATTGTGGAGGCTTCCCTGTGACTGGAGTTTTTGACTCTCAGATTTGTCCGCATTGAACTTCCAGCAATTTGTCAATTACAGTTCAGGGTTTCCTACTTTGGCAAAGGTTCCTGCAGCAATTTCTGCTCAAGAATCTTTGCTTAGCTTTCTCTGTGTCTTTCCCTCTGTTATGGATCCAGGGAGAGTTGATTTTTGAGTCTGTTCAGGTTTTTATGTGTTGCTAGGACAGAGTGGCAGTTTATAAGCACCTTACATGCAGAACTGGAAACTGGAAGCCTCATTAGTTTTTGACACTCTGTAGAAAATTAATTCATTAATTTATTTAAGAAATATCCAGTGAATATTTACTCATCCAGGAACTGCTCTTGGTACTGTAAGGGTAAAGCAAAAAAATATCCCTGTTTTCCTGGAGTTTACATTATTATGGAGGTGATACAATAAAAAAAAACAAACTGATATACAGGTGACCCTTGAACAACATGGGTTTGAACTGTGTGGGT